TATACACTCGAAGGATAAACAAAACACAAAATGAAATGAGCATATATGCGGATGAGAAGAGATATGAGCTAAGGATAATCAAATCTTAAGGATTTTGCAGAGAATATCCGAAGAGAATGTGACTGAATCTGGAACTTTTTCAAGCCACAGCATTGCTGTACAATTTTTAGAATTTATGTAATTTGGCACACCTTAAATAAAGATATTGCAAGCAGATTTACGCTGATGGCCAACTGCTCAACTCAATGTTGCCAATTTGATTGAAACATTTCTTATCCACAGACTATATGTAGTTACCAGTTTTTTTTAATTCGGATTCCAAAAAACGAAAAACCTTTGAAGCAATGAAAAGAGATTGAAATACACTGAACTATTGAAGTGCATGATAGAAAAAACAAAACGTGGCGATTGGACAGAAAAGAAAAATTACCATTGAATGAATGATAATTCAGGATTTAATATGAGGAATACCGGAAAAAATTGTCTTATAACACTCACCTATAATTGCCGATTGTCTGTACGAGTGCTTCCTTGCAAAAATTTCGGATCGTTTTATGAGCTGGACTGCCGAAAAATGTCAGCAGCGTTGAACGATTATGATCGTTTAACGATGAAGACGGTGCACTCAGCATATACGACCGTTGATCTAACCAATCAATCGACGGGATTTCCGATAAACTCGCATTACTGATACTTTCCAAGTAGGGTGGAAGCCTGCAAAGTATGAATGGAACGATTTCGTGTGTTTGAAGAGTGGTGCATGTGCTCAGCTTGAAGATTAAATATCGCAGTGAAAACTGCTAAGAACGTCCACACATTCAATTTATTTTCTAACAATAAGAATATTCTGAAATTCTGATTCTCATTTTCGAGATAGGTTATTGTGCGAATGAAAATGAGTATTCCATATGAGACTTGTGTAAAATTTCTGTTGTTTAGTGAAAAAAGAAAATGTGTACAATGGGAACATGATTGACTTTCCAATTCGAATGACTCACAAGTGCAGATAGGTATTCATAACTAGCACCTAT